CCATGCCCCACTTTTTGGATACTGAACTTGGTATCATTTCCTAAGGGAACTTAATTTCAGAGGTAAGTGCTCTGCCCCCTTGCCGAGAGTCACATCCAGCTACAACCCCAAATCCAAAATGAAGGCATTTTAAGTTCCTAATATTTCTGAAAATATCACAAATCTGATATTTTTCTTGCTTTCAACAAATAATTCTGCAGTGTCAGGTGTTCTGAACTGTATATAAACATTCTGTGTTTTAATACACTGAAACCATCAATACATACAGTAAATACAAGCTTACCCAGAGGTTCAATTGTATTGCTGTAGTTTTTCTTTTCAAATCACAGAATGTTGAAATTCTTTACTATGAAAGCTTCACACAATATACTTTAAACTATAGTATATCAATGCTTTAAAAACAACATTTAAAAAATGAAAGATTTTTCCTATTTTGTTCAAATGAATATGCCCTAAGTTATGCTTCTCAGTTGTCCCAATTTATTTTAATATGAAAAAATCTAATCTCTGCTTGTAAAGCAGATTATGCATGTATTAAATTCTTTAAAATTAGAATATACTTAATGCCACATTAGTTCCAGGCATGCAAAGCAGGAGAAAGAATTATACACCTAAACAACAAGAATGGTTTTTAAGCTTAAGTTTCTACTTTGCTCCAATTCTCATTTGGTAAAATAAAATTATGTACTATCTACCATTTAATGAAATGCACTGATGAATTACTTTTTTGCCAAATAAATCACAAAATAAAATATTTTAAATGGGCCATATTTTTAATTGACGAAAAAGCAAGGCCAATGCTTTGGTTCAGCTGTCTATAAAATTTGTACATCCTGCTCCTTTTTCCTTCCTCATCCTTTCTTACCTCCAGCTGGTAAGGTATATTCCATTTTGCACTTCTAAGTATGCATTCTGGTTATGTCTCAGAATAATGCTGCTGACTTCCCTCAATTCAGGAGGAGGTCAGAGCTCATTTGGACTAGGGCCTAAAACATACAAGAACTGTAAGGCCTTTTGTCCTCAAGGTCCATGAGTACAAGTTCATTTATGGCAGCTTGCCAACAGTCGTTGTGCTTTGAGGTTGCTGCTCCTGTTTTCTGCCATGCCATCAGAGGACTACTGCCTCCACAGCTGCAAGTGTGTCATCTCCCACAGGCATTTTTTTCCTATTAAATCCTCCACAAATCTTGTTTTCTCAGAACCTGGGATATGGTAGCTTTGTTTCCCTCAGTTATTGTTCTTGCTATCCAAAGACAAAAACAGTTGGTGATTACTAACTGCTGTGGGAATGGTTGCATAAACTCTTAATACATACATTAAAAAAATTTTAAAAAAAAGAAGGAAAATGCAATGGAACTGTCATTCATTCATCAGAAAGGGGGTCTGTTACTGTAACAACTCTCACAGGCTGTGGAAGAGACAATGGATGAGGCTCAGCTAACCAAATTAAAGGGGAAGAAAGAGGAAGCAGAGCATCATATAGAAAAAAAAAGACTAAATTCAGGCATATAGTACAGGCACTCCACCTGTGCTGCCCATCCAATATGTGCAACCGTGGTTGGATGAAGTGCTGCACATTGAGTAAATGTCAGTGGATGTAGCAATTTTAGCTCACGTAAATGTTTAAAGGAATTTACTGCTGAGTGCACTGAGGTTTACACTTTGCCTGGAGAAGTGCAGAAAGGAGATGGCATCTGCTCTTCTATTTCACCATGAAGAGTTCTTGATGTATTAGAAAAGATTTGGCTTCAGAGAGGGCAGCCTTGCCCTTAAGGCAAAGCTCCTCCTGACCCCAGTGGAGACATGATTTGATCCACTCACTAAGGTCTGTTTTATGGGATAATGCTGGGAAAGTTCTTCCCATTAACCTTGCTGGAGTGGTGAGGTTGTGGCCTTTTCTTTATAATTGATTCAGTGCCAGCATTTTAAAGGACAAACTAGAAGATAGGATACAGTAAACAGACAACTTGTCCTGAAGGGAAAACAGAAAGCTTTCTTGAGTGTTTGTTGTGTTATCCCTTATTTGAAATTCTGTTTATGTTGCTAAAATTTGCATATATTCTTTTTAATGAATACTACTCAGCTGAGAGACAGTGAAAGATGCAGATTGTGATGCTTGTTAATACCAGTTCATTAAATTAAGCCAGACCTGATTTGCAACAAAACCCTATGTTCTTGAATTTCACAGACGGCCTCGAACTATTGGATTGTGTCTATCTGTTTAGCTGAAGTACTTGGGCAGCCTTCACTGTCAAGGTGTTTAGGTATCTCAGTGTCTGCTAATAGATTTAGTTGCACTGTGCCTTATTCATCAAATTTCTCTGTCAGCTGCTTCAGTCCTCAGTGCCTTTGGCAGTGTTCAGCATGGTGCTTTTTAAGGTTGGCTTTTTTTGTTGCTGAGGCAGGAACTCTGTGTCCGTGCCCAAGCTACTGCCCTGCATCTGCTACAAGTGCCTGCTTCTCTATAATAATTTACTAAACTCCAAGGTGAACACCCTAGGAAAAATGTAGAAGGTGAACATTTTATGTGTCCATGTTGTCTTTTATGCCAAAGCCTACACTTGTACATTCCCATAGAACTTGGTCCCCTGAGTCATGTGCTTCAACAGGCACCAAGAGAGGAAGCCAGGACTAAGGTATCAGGGCTGCTCAGAGAGAACTCTCTAGTCACCTCAGAGCATCATTCATACTCCACCTGAAAAAAGCACTAACACTTAACTTTGGCATGAATAAGAAGCAATGGCAAAAATGTGGGACATTTATTTTTGATAACTCACTTCCTTTATAACCTTTCCCTAGATTAAATATATCTATCTTTAAATAAGTTGGCAGCCTGAGGTCTTCCATATTTTAATACAGGATGTTTGTTGGACTAAGACAGAAATAGAAACACAAAATTTACTTGTGTGTGTTCAACCAAGTTTTGCTTTAGTGTTTTAAAATCTTTTGATTATTGCACGTAATTATGCCTATGGATCAAACCATCTAGAACAAAGAAGTTCTCCATCTAGAAGAATTGTAACTCAATTAAATAATCATTTCTTCACCATGTAGAGTTAGAACTGAGTTCCCTACCCTGCTACTCAAAGCCCTCTTTCCATGACCATCACCTCTCTTGACGGATGCCTGCTGCAGTAACAGCCAATCACTGCAAGAAATTCATGCTTGCCAGCAAAAAAACTTTAACAGAAGCTGAGCTTTAAGAATAGGGATTCACCTGCATTTTGGACAAGACTGGCTGAAATCTCACCTTGTTTAAAAATTGTCTTTGAGTGTTCCCAAAACATTCATCACAAGATGCCCAGAGACATTTCCTCTCATCAGACAGGACACAAATGTGTACCAAGATGCTCAAGGTCCCTTTCACTTTGGGATATTTAACGAACCTGAACTTGCTCAATCAAAGTTCCCTAAAATGTGGAAGTTGATGCCTATCATAAAATAATTTCTATGTTTTAAATCATAGCACTTCTAACAGTTATTTTATAATGAAAGGCAAACAAAAACAATTTTCTCAAGTGGTAATTACAATATTTTCTTCTTTCATCAAAACTTATGAAAATTTCATCTAGAAATTAAGCAGTCACCTGAAATAAATATGTACAAACCTCTAGCTTCCTATTCCAATTTTTAAAATTAAATGTCTGGACTCCACCCTATCCATGCTGAAAAAACTGTAGGTGAGATTCACCTTTCTTTTATTTATGTTTTCAATAAAGACATTTTGACATATAATATTAGAAACATATATTCTAGTATGCAAGCTGAGAATATCCAGTTTTATATTTGTGGTGTCACCAAAGGCCAGTTCTGCTTTTGGACTGTACCACTCTATTTGCACATCCCTTAAGTGTAAAACAAAATATATCTGCAGGGTAAGATGGAGCAACAAATTCAGTCATTCTTTAGGAAAAATGGTCTTATACAGAGCTAGATACCATGTCTTTCTAATTACTAGCACAAACAAAGAATATTTCTGGATTCCAGTAGTGCAAACTGCTTTGCAACTTGCATTCCATGTACTAAAAAAATCCCTCTGATATTAGAAATAGCTCTTTACTCTCATTCCTGCTACAAAATTATAACAAACTCAGTAAGATGGTACAGTATAGCAAAATGAGAACCTACAAATTTGTCCTTATATCAGCTATTTTTTTCTAATTTCTATGTATTTCTTTGTGTGCTTTCATATTTCATATGGTTCCAGGAAAACACCTATAAATAGCCAGAAATGCTCTCTTAACACAAATTCTAGAATCTGGGAAACCAGCCTTTTGCTGAGTCAACTGCTCTAGTGACATCCCAGAACAACACTGCAGTTTAATTCTAGCTATTTTTTAAACCTTATTACCTTACAAATTTAGGTAACATCAATGAATTATAAATATCAGGGGTAAAATAAAATAGCAAAAAACATGCCAGCTGTGGAAAATAACAGAGGAAGTTACAATGGACTTCTACAAAAGCAAAATGGGAATGTCTCAATGTTGTTCTGTAGTACAGTCGTCATTTAAAGAACAGAAAATCTTGGTAGGATATCTTTGCTTAGATCTAGGTCAGCAAGAAGACACACATTAACCTGATGAATGTCCTGCTGAATTCAATGGACTATTCAAATGCACACATACCTCAGATGTGCTTGCAAACCAAAGCCACACGAGGTAGGTAGTGTAGGTAGCATTCTTAAAATGGTCTGGGTGATTTAAAGCCTCACAGCGTTTTGACAATGCTAAAGACAATGACAAATCCTCAGGAAAAAAAAAAAAAAAAAAAAAAAAAAAAATAAAAAAAAAAAAAAAAAAAAAAAAAAAAAAAAAGGTTAAATTATCAAAACATTCAGCATTCAGTGATTCCCTGAAATCTTCAGCCCCAAAGTAGGAGCTTCTGTTCCCAGTTAGACCTGAGGGAAATTTAAACCCCTTGGGAAAGCAGTGCAATAAGAGTTCACTTGGGATGGCAAGAACAAGAAGACTCTGATGGAGGGGAACTTGGGCACCTACCTGTACTCAGATGGGTAATTCCTCTTACTCCATAGGGTAAACAAGGTCTGTAAAAAAAAAAAAAAATATGGGTTTTGAGCTGCAGGTTTGTGGATGTGCACTAAATGATGGGCTTAGGCATCTTTTTGGAGATCAGTACTAATTCCTTTGAGCTAATTGTCCTAAAAAGGTCTGAATTTCTTTTGCTGTGATTCTTCCTCTGACTTCAGGGAAAAAAAAAAAAAACTATCATCTGATGCATTATATTTAAATATCCTTTGCATGAGATGAATATAAAATGTATAAAATAACCCAACTCTGAACTCAGCCTTGTTGTCATGCTGTGTGACACATACCTTTGCTACCTTCCTTCTCATAAGAAATGTAATTGACTTCTATTTTTATTTCTGATATTTTAACTCTGTTAATAGAGTTGTTAAAGAAACTGCATGGAACTGGACCTTTCAACATACTGAGGAATAAGTCAGATGAAGAATTAAGATGTTGGGCTGTTCTTTGTGTCTTAAACAAGAGAGGTTAACATTGAATTCCTTGTAACTTAAATACAAACCTGGGTACTGATGAGCATCACCCATGTAAGGACAAGAGTCTGTTCTTGATGGAGGAAGTAGTACAAAATACCTTTTGTCTCTTGCATTGGCAAGTAGCTCAATGGGAAACATTATAAAAGAAAATCCACAATCACCTTATGATCTTAGAAGTGGAATTTCTACACACACACACACACACACACACATGCACACGCACTCATTTTTAACTAATCCATTAAAGGACTGAACTCTAGGTAATCCCTGAGGACCACTGCATGATTACTTGATTTAAACTAGCTTGTGGCATTTAGAAAAGGTCTTCTACTTTTCCTTGCTGCAGCAGACACGTATAAAAGAGAATAATAATAACATATAAAAACATACATATGCATTTTAAACACCAGGATAAATGCCACCTTCATCTCTGGCCAATGTCATGTTTTCAATGGCATTTCTTACCATTTCACTAACTAATTCAGATCTTATACATCTATGTAGTGTCAAAGTGCCAAATGTTTGTATAGTGCTGGACTTCTTACAGTATACATGTCTATCTACAATGGGACAAAGTGAATTATGCTACTCAGCATGTACATTAACTTCCAGTGAGTACTCCTCCATTAATTTTACCCAGCCACAACCAGCCTTCTTACCCAATACCCACGGCTGCAGAACTGGAACACCCTCCTCAAGTTAAAATTATGCCAGTCCTACCTGTCTTATCAGCTTTCCTCTTCTGCTAAGTGATGCAATGAGTGTCCATTTTATGCAACATGTGCCACATATTTTAATACACTGTGTGCCATTTCAGTATTTACTACTTTTTGAATGCATGTAGATGGAAAGGTAAACAATAAAAGAGGATGACTCCTGCCAAGTGAGAGCGATGAGTGCTACTTGATGAAAGAGGGATGAGATGAGTGATGATGAATGGGAAACCTTCAGCCAAGTTTCCAGTACTAATAACTTGCCTGATCCTTGAACCCACACATTTTAAAGGGTGGCTTGAGAATATTGGTTCCCTCATTTTATGTTAAGAAAGTAAAGTGCAGAGAGAAAAGGAACTTTTGCCAAAACCTGTTCAATACTCTTGCTGTTGAATTTAAGGTTGAGAAGCCACTATGAGAAGCCATTAAGGATAACTATAATATTAACTAGTGCTACATTAGACAGCAGAATATATTTGACTTGTCTGTGCTGGTTTTGGCTGAGGTAGAGTTTATTTGCTTTATAGCAGCCAGTATGGAGCTGTTTTGCACTTGTGTTGAAAACAGTGTTGGGAACTCAGAAATTATTTAGTTATTGCTGAGCTGTGCTTACACAGCATCAAGCTTTTTTGCTTCTCATCAAATCCCACCAGCAAGATTGGTACTCATAGATATTCCAACAGTAGTTTTGGACACATATTCCTAAGATAGATTTATTCCTCTCCATACCTCCCAGGTATGATCCATTGATGGTCCTGGTTGGTATTAAGGACCACAGTAAAAAATATGACATTAGTTCTCTCTGGTGTTTATGTCTGTGTTTCTTGCCATGGAAACCAGGATCTGGGGAAAGACAGCAAGATAACCTGTTCATTCCTGAATCTTGCTCTAATCATGTATTTGTACTCACAAATTAGGAGGTACTCTGAGGATCTGCAGTTTAAATACACCACTGGTGAACATGAGGAGCTTTAATAGAGCACAGCTGTGTCTTTACTCAGTTTCACAAACCGTTTCCTAGGCTGAACTAGCAAGAAGCCATGGGCTCCAGACACATGTTGGTCCTTGGCTTTTCTCCCCACAAGTTGTCCCCATGTGAAGCTGGGGCAGGAATACTGGGGGTACAAAGTGCAGCAAAAATGGGCCATGGAGGTTGGGCCCTGCAGGCAATGATTCATTTGACACATGTTGAAGGCCCTTGACATGCTGAATATAAATCTGTATCTCCAAAAGTGTGGTTCCTGTTGGAAGGTCTACAACAGTATTAAATCTCCTTGGAAAAATGCTTCTAAAACAATCAACAAAAACTTCTTTAAATAAGCAAGACTGAGACAGCTATCCTCCTGAGAGTTTTCTTTATAGGCAATCTTTGTGAGGTTTTCCTGTTTTATTAATCTTCATCTTTTGTGATACTGTACATCACAAAAAGCTGGAGAAGTAAAGAAAAAAGTAAATACCTGCACATTTTATCTCACTGTTAGATTAATTTCTCATAGCCCAACTATTTTGTTTCAGCAGACTCAGTTCAGTTCTAACAAAAATATGGGTTTTTATAAAGAGAGCTTTTATTCCTTACAACAGTTGACTCTTAAATTCCTTTTTTTTAACAATAATATGGAATATTTTGCTGGTTTCTACATCTGAGTGTTATCTCTCCATATTAAAAAAACCATTTGCCTGTTTGTACGTATAGGTGTGCATGTATATACATAAATTAGAAAGCTGCAGCTCTAGATAACAACTTTATGTGAATTTGGATTACTAGATCTAAATCTTTACATATAAATATGTGAGCATTGTCATTAAATATTTAATGCATTCTGGAAACAGAGCTAAAATGAATAAAGACAAATATATCAAGTTACAGTTTAAAAATAAAATCATTACTTTCTATCATTAGACATGGTTACTTTGTATCTCAAAGCAGTATGTCACACTTGTATTTTCAAAACTAGCATTATTCTTATCATAGGCTTATTAAGAAAAAGGAAGTAAAGGTGCACAATTACTATCCAGAGGTTTTATCCACACATCTATTCTTACATCAGAATGGGTTCTATTTTTCAAACACGTCTCTCTAATGCAATTCCAAAGTCCAAATTTAATAGAAATGAAAGGAAGCATTTCATTTTCAGCCTTGAATAACTGTGTCTTTGAACAATACTAAACAGTTTTAACTAAACAAGATACAAACCTAATTATTTAAAAAACACAAACTACCCTGTGGCCACAAAAGAAATGCATTTTCCCATGACACATCAGAATAATTTTTTTTAATTAATTCATAATCAGTATAACATTCCTGTCTAAAAGAAGTTGGCAGATTTTTGTTCATAGTTTCAACAAAGAGCACATGTTGTTTTCATCAAAGGCTCCTCAACACGTAGAACCAGAGAGTACAGCAGATGCTACTGCATCTTCATATTGAATTTATATTTTACTATAAAAGATGAACTTTGGTTACAAATTCTTTTGTGTCAGAAATTACCCCTAAGCTCTTCCTCTGAGCCTCCCCTTCCTAGCCCTCCTAGTGAGGGAGCAGCACTCACTGTGGGCCTGTCCCAGTTAGCACTTGCTGCTTGATATGCATATGAGTCACCACCACCTAAAGTAGCACATTTTAATATTAGGAGCTGGTACTACAGGCCATTTAAAAGAAAGACTTATGTTTCAACTTGTCCTATGAACAGAGAAGGAATAATAAAAAATGTGCAGTTCTGTGTATTTCATCACAGACTTTAGGAAGACTGACATAAATACTGTAAAATGTTAATTCATTGTGAACTTCATAAACTAGGATACTGGTATTTTTCCTTTGCCATCCATCCAAAGAACACTGGGAGGAGTGTAGAAGCAATATATGGTCAGACATTTTTCCAAGTACAGTCTAAATACTGTGCTATATCACCCCAACACTTACACTGGACAGTGGTAAATATTACAGTTTGGCCTAAAAGGAAGAAAAGGGATGGTAGGGATGATCAGTGTGAAAGTGCAAGGTTGAAGTTAATTAGGTCTTGTTTGATCTGCAGATCTCATTGAGATTTATTCTTTTACTTCTTGCAAGTCAAAACTTATTATGCACTGTGCTGTGAGCTGATGAAGGCTTGGGTCAAGCACAGCTGGCAGTCAGGTAGCCAATGCTGTCACAGCTAGCCAGTTGCTACAAGCACCCTGTGATTCCAGGAGTTGGGTCCTGCACAGGAATTTTTCCAAAATCACCACTTCCCTCCTTTTATTCTCCCCAGGTCCCAGACACCTGACTTCCACAATATTTGTGGCTGCATTTGCCTTTACTTCTTCCTGCTGTATTACTGCCTCAAAGAGTAGGAAATGTTGCTTCCTCTTTCTCTCTGTTCAGAATTCCCTCCACAGCTGTGTCTTCTGAAAATTGTCTCACACCTTCCTGCCTAGCTTTGTGTTCTCCTCTCTTAGCTCACTAAGAACCCCTTGATGGGTACTCAATAAAGGTTACAGAATATATTCACAGGCATTAGTCACTGGCTCCAGAAGGTGGTCATCTGCTCAAACGTGGGACACTTGTGCCAAGAAGAGACAACGTCCACTTAAATTGTTAGGGAATTAAGCACCCAGTTAGAGAGCACCCATCTCTCACTTTCTTTCTGTTTCTCTCCCTGTTGATCCAAAATAGAGACCTGATTGAGGAGAAGCAGAAGCACATCTCACCCTCTCTCTCTTCGAGCAGAAGGATGATAATCAGCAGTTCTGCTGATGCTCCCTAAAAGTACTTACTTGAACAGAAATACGGCCCTGGCTGGATTGCCTATTTTCCAAAGTGTTAGAATGTGT